TGGAAGCCCATGACCAGGGCATAGATGGCAACAGCTCTCCTCTGGTTTGCCCTCCCCATCTTATACTAGAAGGTAGATTGGCTCTTAGTGCTGAGGCTGAGTTTAATTATGAATTCATACCGACTGTATTTCTGGATCAGGTCCTTTGAGTCCAGTATCGTGCGCTAAATAACAGAAAACAAATCCCTCTCTAAGTAGCTGTCTGTTGTCATTTACGCCAGTGTCTGTCTCCGTTAAGTGCAACCACTCTGACTTAAACTAAAAGTTTGTAGTCTGGTGCCCGGTCTGCAACAGAAGCTCGTGGGCATTCAATGAAATTGCTGAGCAGTCGGGTTAGAACAGATAAAAGGAAGGACTTCTTCACCCAAAGAGTGATTAACACGTGGAATTCACTGCCACAGGAGGTGGTGGCGGCTACAAGCATGGACAGCCTCAAGAGGGAACTAGATAAACATCAGGAGCAGAGGTCCATCAGTGGCTATTAGCCACAAGGTATAGATAGAAACTCTCAGTCTGGGGCAAGGGACACTCTGTATTCTTGGTGCTTGGGGGGGGCAACAGTGGGAGGGCTTCTAGTGTCCTGGCCCCACTGCTGGACCTCCTGATGGCACCTGGTATTTTTGACCACTGTGTGACACAGAGTGTTGGACTGGATGGGCCACTGGCCTGATCCAACATTGGCTTCTCTTATGTTCTTATGTAAACTGGAGAGACTCCACAAGTAGGTCTGAAGAGTAATGATCCCCTTCTTTTGCTTGGTCTTTTCATCTTTGCTGTAGAGGTAGACTGCCTCTGAACATGGAGGCTCAATTCTTTCCTATCATTGTTAAGGAGAACAGCAGTGCTTCCCTGCTGGATCAAAGCGTCCAGTTGCCAACAGTGGCTGACCAGATGCTGTCTCCTCTGCCTGGGCCGCTTCTGTTCATGGAAGTTCACGAGGCTAGTTACTGTTGATTGGCCTGTACGAATTAATACAAACCTGTATAAGAACATAACTATCTTGCAGGATCAAATGACGTGTTCTCCTGTTTCAGTATTCTGTTCCCTACCAGGGTTGGCTATCCTGTTGCTTGTCCTCCACAGTTGTCAGTTTCCGGAGGTCAGTTTCTGTCAGGGAAATGAGGGATGCAGGGCCCTTTGCATGCACCCTCATTCCCGCTGTGTTCAAGTTTGGGAGGGAGAGAAGCTGGCTTCCCAATTGCATCAAGAGAGCGAGAGAGAGAGTTGTTCTAAATCAAGACTCAATTTATTCCGTTACACACTCTTAAGTCAGAAAACATTTTTGTAGCATTTCAATATTCAACTTAGAATATTTCCGCACAACCCCAATACATAAATAGTGTGCTCGTAATTCTCTAAAGGATATCCTTGGCTGCTCGGTCGAGACCCATAACTGAGGGTAGTTGATCAGAACAACCAGATCAGACAATAAGTACCCTCTTTCACTCATTGGAGCTAACGTAACTGTCAATCAAGTCTGTGACGAGCATTTGACATATATCTGACATATACAACAAACTCAGCCCCTTTCTTTCTGTTTCTGGGGTCAGAGAAGTCAAGGAAAGCTGGGTTCAGCCAGGATGACTCACTGAATCAAGGAAGCTAGTTTCTGATACTCATTATCTATTTAAAATTTGATTGTGACTTCTGACTGCTGTAAAATGTAAACATTCCCAGTAAACAAAAAGTCACATGGGGTGAAGTCTTGTCCAGTGAAGGCCACACACAGCACATAGCAGCGGCCTGAAGCCTTCTGGGAGCAGAACAGAACCAAAGTTGCAACTATGTAGGCTGATTACTATAGAAATAAGTATTATAGGTGTACCAGAGGTTTTGCAGAGTTTTAGCAAAGGACTGACAGTCCAATCCTGATCCCGCAATAGTTTCTTCAGAATTCGTCAGGTCTGCCTTGTCCAGCATACTGAGTAGTATCTAACCATGAGCAATTGAAAGAACGAAAAGCAAAGTGTGGGGTTAACGGCTGACCCCTTGTATTTGTTTCCTGCATTGGGCATTCACAGGTACACTGCCTTGGAATATGAAGGTTCCATTCTTGGCTCTCACAGTTAATAGAACCTGATAGACCCGTCCGCTGTGACTTGATCTGTCTGAAACTTGTCTAAGAGCATAATAACCATCTTGCTGGGTCAGGTCACAGCCTGCTCAAGTACAGAAGTTCGTTTTGACAGCTGCCAATGCCATCTAGATGCCTGCTCTTGCTCTTTTCTGCTGCGACAGAGCTATCTGAAGAAGTGAGTGGTGACTTCGGAAAGCTCCTACCCTGCCATAAATTCTGTTCTTCTTTAAGGTACTACTGGACTCTTGCCCTTTTCTACCATTACAGACAGACTAACAGGGCTACCCGTCTTGATGTGGAATCTTGTGAGCAAAAAATCTACTTTGTGAGCTACTGCCATTAAAGTTATGAGCGAGCGATTTGGCTGCTGCATAAATTAGTTTGCTCTGGAGCCATCCTTCCTGAGCAAAGACAGAAAATGTGTGAGCCGGAGGCTAAAAAACCGTGAGCTAGCTCACGCTAACTCAGCTTAGAGGGAACACTGGTCTACAGAATCTTTTGGAAGGATGTGTGTGTGGGGAAACGTACAGCCACATTGGCTCCCCCCACAGAATCCCCCAAAGAAGAACGAAATCCGTTGGCTTTGATTTGGCTGTATTCTTTGTATAACACCACAGATTTATCCCTGGCATTGTTAATACACGGGCTACGAAGGTGCTTTCTGTTTTCTCTCAGTCCGCAAGGAATCCGTGAGTCTCATGCGGTGATTGGGGTGATCTTGGACGGGGCTCGGGTGGTTTCTCTATTTCAGCGAAAGAGCAAAGAACGGCAATGAACTAACTGAGCAAAACTTCCTAGAGGACACGCTGTAACCTCATGCCGCAGTCTGCCGGCTTCTCACTGTGGAAGCTGGGGAGCTCAGACACTGACCTCGTGGCCTAGAAAGATCTGCTTTCCGCTCTCCTGTCTTTCTGTTGTTGTTGTTCAGTCGCACAGTCTAGTCCGACTCTTCGCAACCCCATGGACCAGATCCCGCCAGGCCCTCCTGTGTTCCGCCGTCCTCTGAAGTTGGCTCAATTTCATGTTCGTTGTATCTATGACACTGTCTAACCATCTTATCCTTTGCCATCCCCGTCTTCTTTGACCTTCAATCTTTCCCAGCATCAGGGTCTTCTCCAGTGAGTGCTCCCTTCTCATTGGGTGGCCAAAGTATTTGAGCTTCAGTTTCATTATCTGGCCTTCCAGGGAACAGTCAGGGTTGATTTCTTTTAGGATTGACTGATCTTTCTAAAGCCCCGTTAACACCCATCTTGATAAAGAATTCTGGTGGCCCCAAAAGCTCAGCTAGCTTTTTGGGCCGACTTGGTTGGCCCAATAAAAAGGTGTTATGTGTATTTGGCTTTCGTGGAGACTTGGAGGGGCAGGGATAGTTGTTTTTTTCCCCCGAAAGAGGGAGATGAAGCATGATGTTATCAAGTTAGCTGAGTCTTTAATTGCAGCAGGCCTGGAGTATGTCTTTGACAGTTAACATGCAAAGCCGCGTTACCTTCTTGTTGGGCAAGCTCCTCCTGGTGCTTCCAGAGGGTGAACATACTGGTCTGCAGTAGAAGAGTGAGGCTCAAGTCAAGCAGCACCTGAGACACCGGCTAGATTTCTCTAAGGGACCTTTGAAACTGATGGGCAGTAGATTCAGGACAGACAAAAGGAAATACATCTTTACGCAGATTCAGGTGGGTCAGTCTGAAGGAACAGAACAAAGTTTGAGTCCAGTGGAGGAGGAGGAGGAGGAGATTGGATTTATACCCCACCCTTCACTTGGAGTCTCAGAGCGGCTTACAAACTCCTTTCCCTTCCCCTCCCCACAACAGACACCCTGTGAGGTAGGTGGGACTGAGGGAGCTCTGACAGAAACTGCTCTTTTTCAAGAAAAGCTGTGCCAGAGCTTGTGACTGACCCAAGGTCACATCAGCAGGTGCAAGTAGAGGAGTGGGGAATCAAACCCGGTTCTCCCAGATTAGAGTCTGCACACTTAACTACTACACCAAATTGGCTCTCACCTTTAAGGCCAAGAAAATTAAACTCTGGGTATAAGCTTTTGTGTGCATGCTGCACATTTCTTCAGAAGTGTGCGTGCACAAAAAAGCCTATACTCAGAATTAAACGCCGTAGGCCTTAAAGGTGCCACCGGGCTCAAACTTGGTCTTACGTCTTTACACGGTGAGTTATTAAATTGTGGGATTCACAGCCAGAGGATGTAGTGGTGGCCAGAGGCATAGACCGCTTTAAAAGAGGTTTAGACCCATTCATGGAGGATATGTCTATCAGTGGCTACTACCCCTCGT